CCGTAATTTTATGAAGCTACGAGAATAATTTTTGTGCGCAAAGAAAACAAAAATTATGACTTTATTCAACAATTCGTTTCTTCCACGTCACCCTATAGCGCCATTTTGGAGAGTATCACATACGTAAACAACATATGCAACATATGTACGCAGATACGCTGTTTACGTTGTTTACGCTTTGATCTGAACGTAAACGACATATCCGCGTACATACGTTGATTTCTTCAGTGTTGTCACATGAAAAGATATAATAAAATATTTACAAAAATGTGAGGGGTGTACTCACTTCTGTGCGATACTGTATGTGATACTTTCCAAGATGGCGCTTGGAAAGGAGGAGACGTATTGTTGAATAAAGTCTTTATTTTTGTTTTCTTTGCGCACAAAGAGTATTCTCGTAGCTTCGTAAAATTACGGTTGAACCCCTGATGTCACATGGATTATTTTAACGATCTCTTGCTCCGTTTCTGAGCCTTGAGCTTGTAAGGACACTTGCTGTCTATGGAGGGTCAGAGAGCTCTCGGAATGCATAAAAAATATCTTAATTTGTGTTCTGATGATGAACGAAAGTCTTACTGGTTTGGAACGACATGAGGGTGAGTAATTAATGACAGAATTTTCATTTTTGGAAGAACTATCCCTTTAAAATAAACATTTTTTTTCTTAGTGTGACGAACATTTTGATATTCTAAAGAACCTTTTTCTACTATTAAGACCCTTGTGTGAAATGAAAAGGTTCCATTGATGTTAAAAGCTCTTCATGGAACCATAGATTCCAATAAAGAACTGTGAGTGTTCTACAAGTTAATGTGACGTTGGTTTGGTGTTCTCTGCTCTCCTGAAGATCGCCACACCTGCGCGCTACACGGTGACTCTCGGAGGAACGTCTCTGTCCGTGAAGTACCTGAGGAAGCACGGGTACATGTCCACCCCTCCACCCGTGAAGGAATACCTGCAGGAGAAGATGGAGGAGACCAAAGAGAGGATCTCTGGGAAAATGGAGGAGACCAAGGATCGTATATCTGAGAGGATGGAGGAAACGAAGGACAAGTTCACAGAAAAACTTCAAGAAACCAAAGACAAAGTGTCTTTCCGAAAAAAGAAGGAATAGGTTTATAGGCTTACAAAAGGTCACAAAGTGACTCTCCCTCTCCATAATGTCATGAAGATTCATGTTATTTAACGATATAGCATACTTAAGGAAAGCAATGTGTCTTAAGCATATACAGTATAAAGTAGTATAGGCTGTAAGCTCTACACTTACTGTTCACATAATAGGCTAAACTATAAGATTATGACCATTGTTTTGGATATAAATTTTGGACTCTACTTGAAGTGTTTTTAACGGATGAGAGTGAGAGTATGTTTTCTAAAGAGAACAGCAGGTGTAATGTGTCCAACATCACATATGTAATACTTTGTTCATATAACAACATAGCACTGCCTCTTTCAATTCTTGCATTTGTAAAATGTTATTTAAATTAAGGATTCTAAATGACACAGATTTGTCACATAACTGAAAATGAAATGGTTTTGTAAAATCTTGAATTGTTTGTAACTTGGTATAATGCAAACGGTGTCGGTCCGAAACTGTAAGTGTGCATTAAGATGTAATACAGCTTATGTCATCGTTTAAAATACTGGAAAAAAGTAATACAGAAGAAAATCGGCAATAGTGCTGACATTCACTCTGCTAATCGTCAACAGTCTTTACGTCTTGTTTCCAATTCAGTGCATTCCTGCCATATTCATGCGTTTCATTTATGTGAGCTCATTTTCAGTTGTTCATGTCTATGGAGTGTCACATGTTTTTGCTTTTTTTTTTTGCATAACTAATGAAGGTTAATAATTGAACTGATTATTCACCAGTTAATGTGTCTGCTGGTGAAGCACTTGGGTCTGATGAGATTGTGAGGCCTTTTTTGTCTGTTGAAGGATCTTCCGCTTGGCTGTCAACAATAATAATAAAAAAGATAAACCACATCTTGTCTTATTTCATGAAGCATGAAGTAGTTTGGCTTGAAAATGTAAATGTTTTGAAAGGCTTTTAGTTTATTGGAAAGACTACGGTTCTTAAGCATTTATTCTTCGTGGCAGTTAATGACAGCAAATCATTTTACAATCATTTGTTAACTGTAATCAGAATTTAAAGGTGCAGTCATTTTTTGTTGGTTGACATTTCATAATTAACTTCTTGCTAGTGAATTGAGAAAATTTACATGAAACTCTACTTTCATTATTTTGTACAAATAATTTCCCTGTGACAATGGTAAATTAAGTTTTTATTTAAAAAAAAGCAGCTTAAAAATGATAAAAAATGTGAAATATTAAAGGGGTCATATGATGCGATTTCATTTTTTCCTTTCTCTTTAGAGTGTTACAAGCTCTTGCCAATCAGAGCACACCTCGCTTTTCAGACCGATTAGTTTTGTAAAAATCGACGCGTTTCAAAAAGGCGGGGCATAGAGGAGAAACAATAATGTACAGTATGTGGAAAATAATGTGTTTTTTAAACTTTAAACTGCATAAACACATTTCGTTACACCAAATACACAAAATAATGTTCTTTTTAGCAGCATCATATGACCCCTTTAAATAAGACTATTTTGTTGAACATACTCTTGTATAAAATGTACCTCTACTGAAGTTTGTCACAAAAAAAAGCATTATATCTTTAAGATATACTTAGTATTTTTTCAATCAAAATATTGGATATTGGAAAAAATATACTGATCAGTTTCAAAAACTAGTTATTACTCACTCCCCATCGATATTCTACATCTTTAATAACAAATTAAGAAAATACGTACTCAGTATTTTTAAGTGTAAAAAATGGAGTGCATCAGTTTAAGTACAATGTTAATCACAAATCTTCATAAATTGAAAACTGCTATTCCAAAAACAAGGACCCATGGCTTTCCATGTTGGACTTCAAACTGAAGGCATGACTGAACTGTTACACTGTGATTTCAACCATGCATTATATTCCTATAAGTTACATGCCAACATGGCTACACCTGTCATTCAACATTTGCTGCTTTTCAATGGAGTAGGCTAACTAAAAGTAAAACTAGCTCAGCTGCTTTCAAAATAGTATGCCTACTACTTTTAAAACAAAAGGATGCATTCATTTTCCCACAAAGATTAATGCAACCAATATCTATGATATCCGTCCAGAGCAAGTGAATCTTATGCTCTCCTATACCTTACTCTGACTATAGTAAAAATGGGTTAATTCAGAATGAAGCAGCTGTGAAATCTGACATTATAAATGTTTTAAAAAATTACTTCCTTCAATGCAAAATCCAAACTGTACAGAAAAATGTAGCAAAATACTTTCTAAGGGTAACCTGACTTGTCTTGAATTGAAGTAGCTTTTCCAGCCCCGCTTTAAATTTTTTATTATTATTTATTTAAAGGCAGGCTGTAGTTCACTTCACCTTGAGGAGCACAACATAACGACAAACACAAAGCACAAAAGAGACTCGTTCTCTGGTTCTTTTCCTCAACTTTAATTGCTCTGTCTAGCCATTTGATGACAGCGAAAGAACAAGCGTGGAATCGTTTCATGAGGGACTACAACAGTATCTTTGAGCAATGGTTTTATTGTTTGTATTTATTTTTTATGATTTTTTTTCAGTGGGTTTTTAGTCACCTTTTTCTTGTAAAAGTATTGCAATTAACAGACCTCAAACTGAAAACCGCTGACATCACAATTAAATAGAACAAAAAAAATAAAATTAAAAAGGCGTAAGGACAGCAACGTTCCTCGCTCACTGAACTGTATCTTCTTATATATATATATAAAAAAAATTGTAGTCCACAATATAGGTTGTAGAGTCCTGTGATGTGTTCTCGCTCAAACCCGATGAAGAACGTTGCTGTGGATTGGCGGGAAATTCCAGATCCACGGCCCGAGATGCTGAACTCACCCACACAAGTCTTCAGTCAGTCATCCATTGAAGCTATGATATCCGTCCAGAGCAAGTGAATCTTATGCTCTCCTATACCTTACTCTGACTATAGTAAAAATGGGTTAATTCAGAATGAAGCAGCTGTGAAATCTGACATTATAAATGTTTTAAAAAATTACTTCCTTCAATGCAAAATCCAAACTGTACAGAAAAATGTAGCAAAATACTTTCTAAGGGTAACCTGACTTGTCTTGAATTGAAGTAGCTTTTCCAGCCCCGCTTTAAATTTTTTATTATTATTTATTTAAAGGCAGGCTGTAGTTCACTTCACCTTGAGGAGCACAACATAACGACAAACACAAAGCACAAAAGAGACTCGTTCTCTGGTTCTTTTCCTCAACTTTAATTGCTCTGTCTAGCCATTTGATGACAGCGAAAGAACAAGCGTGGAATCGTTTCATGAGGGACTACAACAGTATCTTTGAGCAATGGTTTTATTGTTTGTATTTATTTTTTATGATTTTTTTTCAGTGGGTTTTTAGTCACCTTTTTCTTGTAAAAGTATTGCAATTAACAGACCTCAAACTGAAAACCGCTGACATCACAATTAAATAGAACAAAAAAAATAAAATTAAAAAGGCGTAAGGACAGCAGCGTTCCTCGCTCACTGAACTGTATCTTCTTATATATATATATAAAAAAAATTGTAGTCCACAATATAGGTCGTAGAGTCCTGTGATGTGTTCTCGCTCAAGCCCGATGAAGAACGTTGCTGTGGATTGGCGGGAAATTCCAGATCCACGGCCCGAGATGCTGAACTCACCCACACAAGTCTTCAGTCAGTCATCCATTGAAGCGCGTGTTTCTGGAGAGGAGAGCTCGGAACCAGACTGCTATGCCGAGGAAATAATGACAACATGAACGTGCAATAACGATCAGCTATGGGCCGGATTTTCCTCATTTGATGCTCTTTTATATTCCACACAACTCGATTATGTGCATAAAAACAACAACAGAATGTTAACCGTTTGCCACGGACGTCCCACCGAGCCGATAAAGCCTCACCCTGAGCTGCGTTTTGATATGAACCACTAAACCTTGTCCCGGGTCGGAGAAAAGGCCGCGTGGGAGCCCAAAAGTCGACAATCGAGGTACAATGACGCTATTGTTCTGCGTGGTGATTATTACACGTCCAAACAGCTAGCAGTCACAAAATAAACTCCAATAAATAAAATGACCAGCGCTGGCATTTATAATTCGTTCTCTGGAAGTTACAAAAGCAGCAGCTAGTTATCCTTTATATAACTGCCTTATAATCAGAACATTTGTTTCAGCACATAACAGATTTGCATTTACTGTATAGGAAAAAATAGATAGAAGTCGTCATTTTGTATTTCTGTGACCATACTGTAGCATTTCTCTTTGCAAACTTTACTCTGTTTTTACAAAAAAAGACAAAGCACAATTGAAGGCAGTCACAAAAACTTGATGCCACCGTGTTAAAGTTTTCTTTTTAATATTATCTATACATTATATTACAGTATTAACAATGCTTTCTTGTGGTTTTCTACCCATTGGGTAGGATATGTGCATAATATATTCAAGTTATATACAGCACCGTACAAATAAACAGAGTCCGACTACTGAAAGAAGCACCATAGGAAGTGAGGCACAACAAAGGTGGGGACTTTTGAGTGCAAGTGGGTTTCTATGTCTGCTTAAACATGACTGTTAGGCACCGAATTTGCTCGTGTAAATAGTAACATGCAAACCTCTCGGCTGCAAACGTAACAAAAAAACACATTTGGGTTCGTTTTCCTAGCACGACTATGGTGGCGAAAACACGCTAATGTTAACGAAAAACCAAAACGAAGAACGAACATCTATGTCTCGGGTTGATATGCGAATATAAAGTAATGGGGAAGCGGACATAGGCCTACATAACGAACGGACAACAGCAGCAGTAGCGGTAGCAGCAGCAGCAGCGGCAGCAGCAATACAGTACGAACTCAAACTGCGCGGTCAGAATGAGTGACGGGAAGCAGAGCCAATGACGGGAAGCCAAGCTTTCAGAGCCGAAGCGGATGGGCGACAGGAGAGTCTTGCTATTCAAGGGGGGAAAAGGTCATATAAAAGCCTATTTTAGAAAGGAAAGTGGCGCTTTTTTAGTCCACTTTGACTAAATATGCTCTCAAACTGGTCACTTTAATAAATAGCTAGTTGATAAATAGGTTTTCTATGGGACTTTCTAAAGGGAAGGCCAAAGAACGATGGTTTAACAAAGCTCAGGTGTGATCAAAAACACAATCAACACGTCTGAAAGCCTTCCAAAGTGTGCCGTGTGATTGAATACGACTTCAAATGAAGAAAGAAAAAGGGGGATGTACCTCGTCACGACTGGTACACGTTTGGTTTGAACTGATATAAATACTGATGACAAATAATAAAGAGATAAAAGTGTGTTCCTGTGCTGCCTCGGAATAAAACGGCATTCCAGGAGAGGAGAGTAAAAGATAAAATATGAGATCCATATATGATCGTGAACTAAAGTATAGTATGGATAACTGGAAACAAAACTATATGCATGCTTTTTTTAGTGGAAAACAAACTGTATGAGATGTGACACACTCGCTCAGAAGGGGACAGGATGTGCATAAGACTACAGTTCCCATGATTCCCTTGCACTTTGACCCCATGACAATGCTGAAGTGATGCAAGTTTAAAGTGCTACTTGACAGGATGAAAGTGGCGTGTGTGTCGTGACTTCCATCCGCAGATATCCATGCCAATATCTCTTGGTCAGCAGGGGCCTTTGTAGGGCGGCAGCTCCTCGCCGTCTGACAGGCAGATAGTGGGCGGCAAGTGGATGTCCTGCTGCAGGTATGGGTAGGTGGGCTGGAAGCGGCTGAATCGGTCCCTTTGCATAAATGAAGGTGGGTTGAAGCGCTCTCCGCTCCGTGGCCCATACATCACCTGAACATAGAGATGGAAGAAAATAAACCTTATTAGAAATTAACCCAAGAATAAAAAACAATAAACAATTCAAACGAGGTCTATGCAAACATGCAGCCAGGCTAATTATAGAATTAGTTAATAATACAATCAATATACAATACTGTTTGAAAGTTTCTGATTTTTTTAATGTTTTTGAAAGATGTGCCTCAAGGATGCATTTATTTACAGTAAAATCAGTAATATTTTGAAATATTTTTTACAATTTAAAAGTTTTCTATTTCAATATATTGTAAAATGCATTTATTCCTGTGATCAAAGCTGAATTTTCAGCATCATTACTCCAGTCTTCAGTGTCACATGATCCTTCAGAAATCATTCTGATTTGCTGTTTGCTGCTCAAGAAACATTTATGATTATGATCAATGTTGAAAACAGTTGTGCTGCCTCATATTTTGGTGGAAACTGTGATAAATTTTTCAGGATTTTCTGATGAATAGTTTAAAAGTACAGAATTTCTTTGACCAAAAATACAGTAAAAACAGCAATATTTTTAAAATTTAAAATAACTGTTTTCTATGTTAATATATTGTAAAACGTAATTTATTCCTGTGATCAAAGCTGAATTTTCAGCATCATTACTCCAGTCTTCAGTGTCACATGATCCTTCAGAAATCATACTAATATTCTGATTTGCTTCTCCAGAAACATGACTATTATTATCAATGTCAGAAATATTTTTTCATATGCTTCATATTTTTGTGGAAACTGTAATACATTTTTTTCTGGATTCTTTGGTCGATAGAAAGTTCATGCATCCTTGCTGAATAATAGTATTAACTTTAGACCCCAAACCTTTGAACAGTAATGTACATTTAGTAACATTTCATATAAGTAAATAATATGGCTCTTTATTACTATGCACTGTTACCTATTGTTGTACATAGCAAAAAGGATATTGTGTTTATTTAGTGTACATATAGTAATTTCAGAGCATAAATGTTGAAATATATTGATTGTCCTTTAAAGGGCGAAAACATATTGTGAGTTTCGTGCTATTAGCTCTTAGCTATGTTGCCCAGCCATAAACTTGACAGTAAAACATAAAAGCAATGAATAATATTTGCAGAAAGGTTGAATAATAGGTCATGTCAGTTAACTAACCTCAGTGGCTCCTTGTTGCGTCACCAAACTATCTGTTGGCCATGCACAGCCGTCCTAACCAAAAAAAAAAACAAAAAATAAACTTTGTGTACTTGGTTCCTCAATTTTCGATTCAAATTGTGCAAGGGGAGCGTTTAGGTCCCCTTTAGGTCCAGGAGGAAGTACCAAAGAGCACATGCGCTCTCTACTGCCCTCTGCAGGTGTGTCCTAGTCACACGGGTTTGTCGCGCCGGCTGTCCTTAACCTTGACGAACAGGGTTGTGCTTGCGCCAGGCTGGGCGGAGGGGCTGGCTGTCCTCTGGTTAGAGGGTGGTGTGTTATTGCTGTGCTGGTGCAGGAAGGAGGCGGAGCCTGGGTACGTCTGACCCATCACCTCGCTATAGGTGGGCGGCGGCTCCTCCACGTGCGAGTTCGAGGCACTCTTGCCAGAGTTGCTGCTCGGGGGCCGTGGGCCGCCTCCGTGCACGTAAACGTCTATCAGGTCGCTGTCGAAAATGGTCCGGTTGGGGGGCGCGCGCACAGACGCACGGCTCAGCTCGAGCTGCTGCTCGGGGTCTCTGAGCTGCAGGGTACAGGGGCCTTTGTAGGGCGGCAGCTCCTCGCCGTCTGACAGGCAGATAGTGGGCGGCAAGTGGATGTCCTGCTGCAGGTATGGGTAGGTGGGCTGGAAGCGGCTGAATCGGTCCCTTTGCATAAATGAAGGTGGGTTGAAGCGCTCTCCGCTCCGTGGCCCATACATCACCTGAACATAGAGATGGAAGAAAATAAACCTTATTAGAAATTAACCCAAGAATAAAAAACAATAAACAATTCAAACGAGGTCTATGCAAACATGCAGCCAGGCTAATTATAGAATTAGTTAATAATACAATCAATATACAATACTGTTTGAAAGTTTCGGATTTTTTTTATGTTTTTGAAAGATGTGCCTCAAGGATGCATTTATTTGACCAAAAATACAGTAAAATCAGTAATATTTTGAAATATTTTTTACAATTTAAAAGTTTTCTATTTCAATATATTGTAAAATGCATTTATTCCTGTGATCAAAGCTGAATTTTCAGCATCATTACTCCAGTCTTCAGTGTCACATGATCCTTCAGAAATCATTCTGATTTGCTGTTTGCTGCTCAAGAAACATTTATGATTATGATCAATGTTGAAAACAGTTGTGCTGCCTCATATTTTGGTGGAAACTGTGATAAATTTTTCAGGATTTTCTGATGAATAGTTTAAAAGTACAGAATTTCTTTGACCAAAAATACAGTAAAAACAGCAATATTTTTAAAATTTAAAATAACTGTTTTCTATGTTAATATATTGTAAAACGTAATTTATTCCTGTGATCAAAGCTGAATTTTCAGCATCATTACTCCAGTCTTCAGTGTCACATGATCCTTCAGAAATCATACTAATATTCTGATTTGCTTCTCCAGAAACATGACTATTATTATCAATGTCAGAAATATTTTTTCATATGCTTCATATTTTTGTGGAAACTGTAATACATTTTTTTCTGGATTCTTTGGTCGATAGAAAGTTCATGCATCCTTGCTGAATAATAGTATTAACTTTAGACCCCAAACCTTTGAACAGTAATGTACATTTAGTAACATTTCATATAAGTAAATAATATGGCTCTTTATTACTATGCACTGTTACCTATTGTTGTACATAGCAAAAAGGATATCATTGTGTTTATTTAGTGTACATATAGTAATTTCAGAGCATAAATGTTGAAATATATTGATTGTCCTTTAAAGGGCGAAAACATATTGTGAGTTTCGTGCTATTAGCTCTTAGCTATGTTGCCCAGCCATAAACTTGACAGTAAAACATAAAAGCAATGAATAATATTTTGCAGAAAGGTTGAATAATAGGTCATGTCAGTTAACTAACCTCAGTGGCTCCTTGTTGCGTCACCAAACTATCTGTTGGCCATGCACAGCCGTCCTATGATACAGAAAAGAGAGGCCGGTGTGAGTCATGCATTATGAACAAGACATAACATCAATGCATTCGAGTTTTAAGTTTGGGTAGAAAAAAAAATATCTAATTCGCTCCAGGCATCAGAAAAGTTGATCTAAATTCACATGCAGTAAACACTAGAATACATTAATATCATGCATTATTAATTCAAGACCGCTGGTTAGTCTTGTGGCCTCTAAACATGCAGCTGTAGAAACTGTGTGAGCAAACAAAAGAACAGGAACTCTACCCCCACTCAGAGCGCACACAGACAGGACACACATGGTGACTGGAGAATCAAACACACACACACACACACACACGCGCGCTTACCGGCTGCATGCCCTCCTCTTGTTGACGGGCCTGGCTGTGGCGTGTGAGGAAGGCCCAGGCCGACAGCCGATAGTGGTTCAGCAAACAGATGATCACAACTACCATTACAGTCATCACCACAATTATGATTATTATCTGAACAAACTCCAGTTCAGCTGCAAGACAAGAAAACAGAGAGAAAACCATTAGCATATTTCACACATTCACAGAGCTGCAGAAGTTGCGACATTTTTACATTTTCAATAAAAATTAGTGGTGCTTCCCTGTGCAAAACTCACTGCTATGGTTTTTTTTATTGCTTGTTTTATTTGAAAATAATATGCTTGGATGCTTAAAATGATTAATACCACACCTAAGCTCAAAAATGCTCATTGTTTGACCAGATATCATTCATGTTTGCAGCATAAACAGTTTTTTTTTTTTCACTTTTAGGGGTTATGGTTCATTAAAAATGGTAATTGATTTGTGAGCTTTCAGGAATAACAGAGAGGCAAGCTAGACAGTTGCTTATGAATAAGTAATGACAGCAAACCCATCATGTTCTTCATTCTTACCACCAGGGGGCAGTAACGTGAACACAACTGAGACCAAAATCAGACTTAAAAAGTGACACAACAGAACAGACTAATCCGCAAAAATGTGATAACATGACGTTTCAAATGGCTTTTCTGACCTACATCAAGTCAAGAATGGAGAAAAAGAGAAACGAGAGAGCTTTGGGGTCATTTTTATTACTAATGTGAGCTGGATTTTAACAAGCACTGGCTGCATAAGCAGCACAGCTCAATACGTCTGTGCGCTAACTGCTAGGCCACAGCTCTGATTTCATAAAACTGTTTCATATACTGATTGTGTCATGGTTCGATCTCACTTAATCAAAGGAAGGAATTCATTCTTTATGTTAATCTCGTCATACTTCCTCATCTCAGGGGAGCATGTATCGAGAATCCTTTCAAAGGAATGCCTGAATGAACATGACAGTCTACTCATCATTGTTTTAGAGATCCTTGTGAAAAACGATCAGGCATGTTGTTACAAACAGGGTAGACCTCTCTTTTAACCTCCTGCAGACCACAATACGGACGTGTTCTCCAGTCACATGAAAACATGTTGATATGTGCCACACATATGTTCAGAGAAATCTTGTTAGCCCTGCTGCCCACTGAGTAACCCAGACAATTCCATCTGACACATGAAGGTTTCGAGGCAATAGAAAAACTGCTGCAAAGCTGCGACACTGAAGTAAACACCATCAGCTGTCTAACACAATCTACACTAACGTTAAGGGTAATCATTTTCAAACATACGGCTATGACATCAGCAACACACAGCGGACCTTGTTTTACGCAGGAAAGAAGATCTGAATAAAATGTGTGCTTTGATGGTCTTCTCCCGGAAGCTACAAATTCAAATTCATCCTCATGCAATGAAAATTCACTCTATATATTTTCCAAATGCATGGTATATATCTTATTGTGAACATTTCATCCATATATGTTTCTTTTTCTTTTTTTTTTTTTTTAAATTGACCTCATAACTTCATAACTGGATCTTCTGGTGAAAACGTCAGACTTCTCTCTGGTGATGTATGCTGGAGTTCTCCGATCATTCGGTCCACATAAACCTGCCTCTGCAAGCTTATCTGCCGCCACTTTTGAGTGCAACGTCCACCTCTCACAATCCAATCACCAACCGATGCATTAAACCGAATCCTTGCTCTACATTTTTTCTTTTTTGATAATCCGTAACATTCGGATAAACATCACAATACAGAAGAAAAGATCTGTCACTACTCCCATTTCATTGCGACTTTAAAGTACTGGTACTGAAAATAAAATGAATCAATCAACCACAATAGTTTGTCGGCTGTTGGATGACTAGTCAACCATCCTGACTCATCTCTACTGAAAGCCAGTTTTGTCAAGCCAGTAGGTTTGTTGGGTGAGCCGTCTCGAACTTTAGTTTCTGACCTTTCCATCATGGCCACTTTCTCTCTACAAGAACAAGGCCGTACTCAGGATGCAGTTGGGCCATGTAGTGACACTGTTAAATAAGCTGCGTTGGAGCTGGCTCTTTGCCACGGCTCCTCTGGAGTGAGTGCTTGCAAGACAAGGCCCCATCTGTTGAGGGCTTGTAGGAGAGGACCAGAGACCAGACGCATCCCAGGAGTTAACCCAGCACAGGAGATAAAACAGCCCAAATCTGCTGCCCATAACCGGATTACGGCCTGGACCAACTCCAAGAGACAGACAACTGGTGGTAGATGGAGGGGGATGGGGTGGGGTGAACATGTAACTTACACATCTCAACCTCCGAGACACTAGGATTGTAATCTCAGCCAACCTAGAGTACCAGGCACCACTCAAGCACCTTTCCTCCATCCAGGACTGTCCACTGTTGCTGTAAACCACTGTAACAGTTTTCTTAGCAGAGTAGCCTCACTCTGTCCTCCTTAGAAATGGCCTGTTCTGATCCAAACAAAGGGTGATGTCATCTAATGCGGTAAAAATGGACTGTAGTCAGGGTGGACTCGAATGAAAAGGCTGTGAGGTACAGGTGTACAGTCCATTCAACAGGTTGTACTATTTCGTGTAATCTGATGTCGCTCAGAGTTTTTTGCTCACTCAAATTTTTTTTAGAAAGGCACCTTTTGAATGTTTTGCCAGTTAAACAATTGACGCCTGTACCTGTATCAACTCTACATTTATCCCTCACAGCTTTAATATGTCAAATTAAATATGCCGCCTAATCTTACTAGTGTCCATTAAAAGTAGGAGTGTATCGGGTGTGTCTGGTCTTGATTATTTTTAGCCAAATTAGCTACTACTCAGATACCAATAAAACTGAACTCAATGTGAGTCATCAGCTGTTTCATCACTAATCTAACAGCGCAATTTACATAAACCCGTAATCCCTATATAAAATCATATTCCCCGATCCTTGTTTAACCTTCCCTGTGCTAATCGGCGGGCTCAAGCATCGAAGTCAGACGTGACGGCATCCCGGAAGATCTGTTAATGTGTTATGATTACAGACACAAACCCCAGACAGAGCAGACACAACAAACCGTCGTCAGCCTGTTTGCGACAGGGCAGAAATGTAAACAGGCTGCGATAATGTGGCAACAACTGCACAACAGCAAGGGAGAGAGGCAGCTGGGCTAATTCGGGTTAGCCTTATGCGGACTCTCTGAGATCAGACTGCTCAATCCTCTTACTGCTACGTATGCTGCTCCATTGTGTTGTTAGCTAAGAGGAGATATGCGCTAACACCTGTCACAGAGTCTCTAACAGGCTCTTAGGTGAACTGGGTGCGTGTTGTTCAAGCAGTCGTCACCTCGTCTCTGAGGTCGGAAAGCCCTGAAGTGTGCTAGAAACTGCGGGCCTGCTCTCTCCTGCGGAGGCCATTCTGTTACTGAGCCGAAGGAAATGGAGGAGGCATTACATAAGCCTAGCCGAAACTTTTTCCCCCTCTCCTCTCGCTCTCTTTTTTATACCGTGCTCACAAGCTGCAAAGACAACCAAGTCTGGCCTCCAGATCTATATTTCATGAAGCCATTTCCTGTTTCCTCCTCTCCACAGTTTCATAACAGAAGGAAAACAGCTGTGCTCTCACGATCTGGGAGGACGAAACGGAGCGGGTGGAGGAGGAGGAGGGGGAGAGAGAGACTGGAGAATGGGGACTGCTGCTCACTGCCAGCCATCTGTGCTCCGTCTCCAAATGTCTCCCCGGTACAGTGCTATTCTCATGGAGTCGGGCACAGTACGTGGAGATCATGTCATGAGAGATCCAACAGTTGAACTCACAGCAGTGAGGGAAACTTCTTAGAATGGGCTTTGAATTCATACCAAATCACACATTACACAACAGATTTCCAAGGGAAAGAGCGTGTGTGCAGTGAACGACTAATTTCCAAGTGACTTCATCGGCATGGCAAGACAGCGGGGACGAGAGAAAAACATTGAAAGTTTCCTTGCGTCCTCTCTAGTTTGGGCCATCTCATGTTGCAGGGCGTACAAACGACACTAAAAGTGAGCATCCCTAGTAGATTGCATGCACAAACCTGCAGCTGAACATACAGCTACCCATGTTGGCGTTCATGACTGCGGGTTGCACTGGTAACTGGAGAAAAAACAGAGATGGACATATCCAGTCATAATACCACTGCTTCATCAAGCACAAGCCTTAATCTAGTTAACCATCCATTCACCCACGTCACTGCGCGCACCAGACAACAAAGGCATTATGGGAACTTGAGAGGGGACGCATTGCCCCCTCCTCCTGTGTTATCTGAGTTGTCCCATCAGAATGCCAGACAAAAGGCAAGGGCACAAGCCAGACGCCCATGTGGGACAGAGACTTGCGAGACGGCAGGTTTCACCCAGAAACACAATCATATGGGAAGACTGAACCACGTCTCACTGCTGCAGTAAATGCCCCTTACTGGAACATTCCCTAGCAACATGCTATGAGTCACTTTATGAGAGGCTGTGGAAGGGGCAAAATAACGAAAGAAAGGCAGAAAAGAAATGTCTGCAGAAGGTCGCTAGACGGAGGTACTGCTATTTTAGTAAATATTTGCAAGATACAACTGTGTGGGACTTATTCTATTCAGAAAAGACAGAAAGAGGCACCTAAGCATTGTGGAATTTTCTCGTTCTTCTGTTTTGGGGAAACTGAGAGAAAGGGGCGGGTGAGTTTGTGAAGTCTTTCACCAAAGCAGCCCTTTTCTGGTGTGACAGACATTTTCCATTCACACACAAGGTGTATGAAAAAACAGAAGAGTGCGAGAGAGACTGAGAGTATGTGGGAGACAGAGGAAAGGAAAGAGAGAAAGTGAGGACACTTCAATAAACTGAGTCTCATGGAACAAATGAGATCAGAGAACAACTCAAAGAGCCACCCAAATAAACAAAGACGGGCCAAATCTACGGACTTGAGGAACACCGCATTCAATCACTGAGTAAAAATTAACGCTGCTATCTAACGCATGGCCTTTCGCAGTGGCAGAGATAGCAGGAAGTGCGACGGAGAACTAGGGCGCATTTAATCGTGCCAGTGGCAGGAGCTATTCGTCTGTGCCTCGCTGGCAAAGCGGCACTGTCACCTAAGCAGGGCGCAAGCCACTGACCTCGCTCTCTAATCTGAGATAAAG